CTAAACTTATAAATAATCGGGGTAGTATAAAAAGCCTTCATTAATTCTTATCCATACTATACACCATTAGTATGCCATAGTTAAGCGTGGATAAATTTTGCAAGAACTAAGAGATGACCCTACCTCTAGAGAGCATTTAGAGTAGTTGAATGTAGGGTATGCTATAGGGTAGATGAATTTCTACCTCTTAGGACTCTATTTTGCATATTTTTTGTTTCTAAAACCAATTCTATTCCCACCATCTATGTAGGTTTCTCTCCCCCAATTCTACTTAAAATGTCCTATCCTATCTCCATGCGTGTGCTTCCAATCTAAATTTAAAATCTTTACAAAAACTAAATCATCAGAGTTAAAAATAGAAACAATAGTAATATGCTCATGTTTTCATTTATTTATTTATTTATTGGATAGATCATTGGGGAAGGGTCTCTTGCCGTGTAGAAATAGAACTCAAGACATCAAGTTATGACATTTATCACCCTGACTACCTATACCATGAATCCATTCCAGAAATAACTCATTTTAATTTAGTTTTTATTTATTACTATTCTTAAATAGTTTTTCAAATTTATAAAAAGAAATTTTACCTTTTCTGTTTATAAAAATCCACTCCGTTCATACTTTATCCTCAAAAACCATTTTCAAATATTTTAGATTTGAGATAGGTAGAAATTTTGAGGGCATAAAAATTGCCTAAAACAATACAAGAAAATATAAACTTTATTTCTAGGGGTTTTAGACTTGGGCAAGCTTTCTATGCTTCCCCTACAACATAAAACTTATATACTTCCGCTTATCCAACCGTCCATTCTGATTGGTGGGCTAAAATTGCCCCAATCACAATGTCACGTCTCTACACTATTTTTATTTTATTTTATTATAAACTAGTTTGACACCAAATTTTGGACATCCAATCCTCTATTAAACTCGTACTATTGAAAAATAGAAAAACATTATTTTCAATAAAATAAAATGATAAAAATACCCCTGAAATCTTCAAGGGGTATTTTGGTCATTATATTTTATTATAAATTATTTTTAATATATTTTCTAGGTGCGCCCCAATACGAAGATAGCACGTACCAAATTTCATATTCATTCAATTTGTATTAAAAAAATTAAAAATAAAATACTTTGAGACGTTGAATCTAAGATCAAACGGTGAGTGGCTCTCTTAATCAAAATTGGATGGCTGGATGTTAGGGGAAGCATAGATCTTCTATGTTGTAGGAAAGTATAGAAACCTTCCTTTTAGACTTCCTAGAGGGGTTTTCCTAATTATCTGGATTTTGTTTTTGGAATTTCCCACTTATTTGGGAATTTTCTAACTAATTTTCTAAGGATTTTTCAGTATTTTTGGGGTATTTTTTGGGATTTTAGAGGAGGTATTTATAGGTTCAACTAGGGTTTTGGTTGCAAATAGACCAATTCGATCAAAGGGTCTAGATTTAGTAAAAAAGTCATGGATTTTCGTATTTTTCTAGAATATTCGACTAAAAATGATTTTATTATGTTAATCCCCAGGCCCATCGGGTAGCGTGACGTGCGGCCTGCGTTGGCATGCGACACGGGCCACCCTGTGTGGCTCGACGCACAGTGTGGCCCGCAGCCCATGCATGGGCATTCTTGTCATTTTTGCCTTGGTTCTTCCGAGGCTTCTAATTCCTAATATTTAGGTTCGATTTGAGTTATTCTTGGACTATTGGAAAGTTCTCAGGGTCTACTATGTTTTGAGATAATTTTTTAATAGTTTTGGGACAGTTAAACTGGGTTGCGGTGTACTAGGGTTCACTAAAGTTTATGTGGTCCTTGAGAATCAGAACAGGTTTTTAGAAATTTCATTAACAAGATTTTCTAGGGTTGTGTCTACATTTATATATAGTGAGGAAGTATAGAAAGCTTTCCCTATTTCTTATCTATACATACTATACTATACTATATTGTTAAACCATAGTTAAGGGTAAATACATTTTGCAAAAATGAGAGATGATCCTACCCCTAGAGAGCATTAAGAGCATTTGACCTTTTAAAAAGTAAAAGAATGCAGGGTATGCTATATGGTAGATGATTCGCATCTCTTAAGATTCTATTTTACATATGCTCATGTTTTCATTTATTTATGGGGGAAAAGGCTCCTGTAGTAGAAATGGAACTCAAAACGTCATGTTCTGGCAGTCATCACCCTAACTACCTATGCCATAAGACCATTAGAAAAATACCCATTTTAAACTATTTTACATTTACAATGAATCTTAAATAATTATTAAAATTTATGAAAAACAATTTTGTCTTTTACATATATTGTTTTAGACAATTTTTATGCCCTAAAACAATCTACCTAGCTCAAATCTGAAATAGTTGAAAATAGTTTTTGGTGCGGTAAATATAAAAGGAGTAAATTTTTATAATCGAAGCGGCATCATCACGATTCGCTTTGCTTCGATCTAAGCTTAAAATCCGAAGGCTTCGGCTTCTTTGGCCAAAGCGAAACTAATTTGACAACATTGATTTATATTACAAATTAAGGATAATATTAAATATAAAATTTTACTACCTAAACTTTTCTAAAATTTGAAATTCAAAATTCTAAAGTGTCCCAAATAAAATATGTTGCGGCAAAAGTAAAAAACAAAATTTATATCTATTGTATTTGTGAAATTTTGATTTTTGTTAATGCTTTAAACTTTTGTTTATGAGATAATTGTAAAAATGGATGCTAAATGCTCCAATAGTTTGGCATATTTGTTGAGATGTAAAAATAGTGATGCTTTAAGTTCGGAACAAGCTAACAACAACTTGGCACCAATAATGAGTAATAATATAGGTGGAATCTTAATTATCAAATCTTCATCGGATAATTCAAAATACATGTCACTATCTGAATTTTAGTCTTTTTTTTGTTTGTTTGTAGAAATCAGATTGTGATGAAATTTTAGGCATGTCTACTAAAAAAAAAGGCATAAAATAAAACAATGTAAAACAAATATTTTTCAAAATATAAAATGACCAAAATATCCCTAAAAAATATGGGGGTAATTTGGTCATTTTAAATGCTTAAAAGTAATTTTGTTATCTATTTTTGTATGGTGGACAATAGTGTCAAGTATATACACCCAACACTTCATCTCAATCTGATTTATAGGAAAAAGATTTAAAATTCAGATATTTATATGTATTTTGAACCACCCAATAGAGTTCTGAAAGCTGAGATTCTACCTATATTACTATTCATTATAGCTGCAAAGCTATTGGTAGTTTTACTCTTTAAGTCCCAGCTAACGTTAAATCGGTATATAAAAATTCTGATAATTTTATCCTATCCTACCTATCCTACTTTTCTATCGAATTTTGAATTGGCCATTATTCTTTTAATCAAATTTCTAATAACCAATCAAATGACACATCAAAATGGTTTTGAGATTTATCAAAATACACCTAGAGTAAAATGTTAAATAGTTTAAATATTTGATGTATTTTGTTAAATTTCTTGACAATGGAGCGAACCGATGCCCATGCCCTCAAACCTCAACGCTAGCGGAGTAAGCGAGACCAGCGTTCGACTACTCGGGTGAGTCCTACTATCATGAGTTTTGGTGGTCAAGCTTGGGATCTTAAAATTTCAAAAAAAATTATAAATAAATTAAAATACAGAATTTTATCTGTAATATTTTTTATTTTTTTTATGTTTTCTATCATGTTGGTAAAGATTGGAAAATATTTTGGCCATAAATACTTATTTTTATATTTTTCTCTTCTTTTTATATTATTTTTAAAATACTCACAATTACAAATATATTTTTCAAAATCCATTTTTTTGCTACTTTTTTAACCTCATTTAAATGTATTTTGTTTAATTTTATTTTAAACATATTTTTCACATTTTTTGGGATTATATATATATATATACTATTTATTTTTTTTTATTTTTATTTTGTAATATTGTTTGGACTAACCAGACATGCTCAACAAACTCTGAACTCGGCCCGAGTTATGAGTTACTCGGCTACTCAGGCTCGGCCAATGGCCGAGTTCCGTACCCGAGTTGTGGTTTCCAAATTCCAACGCTGCTATGCACCATTGATATCCGTTTGCACCAATAAAAATTCACGCCAACAGTGCCTTTTCCTTGGCAAGAGGCGACTGAGGGGAGCATCGTTATACTATCTGTGCTTGCATCACAACATGCGAAGCCCTTTTTTTCTGCCTAGTTCGCCCTTTTATCTAATTTTTGTGTCAATTATCAACAATTAAGACCCTTATTAGTTATTATTAAGTCCAAAAAGTTCATTTTCTATTTATGATATTCAATTTTACATAGGCATTGATGGATGGATGGATGAAAGTACAAACATGTCCTATATATAACATAAGTAGTTTCCCACCAAGATTTAATATGACTTTTGATTGAGTAGAATGATAGATCAGGATTCATATAATACATCTCAGTTGGAAATAATGTTTTGATGATAAAGATTTGTTAGCTCCGATGATGATGATAATGACCGAGATTCGTGTAGTGAACCTCAAATAATACAAAAAAAAACTTCGATGATGATGAGTTCCTCGCTCTCCATCATCAGCCCATATTTTCGACATTATTCTTCTCCCTCAACCTAAATAGCGAAAGTACAAAGAATGGAATTGGGGAGGTGGGGGTGGGGGTTTAAAATTCAACCAAAATATTCACCGGATCCGAACCAGAACGATTTCTCTATGATTAAATTAAAAATAAACGCATCATCTGGGAGGATTGTGTGAAGAGAGAGAGAGGAGAGAGAAAGGCATAGCACATTAGAGAGGGAGATGAGAGAGAGGCATAGCATATTTCTGGTTTCCCCGAAACCGTTATTATGGTGCCATTAATCATGCTGTTATTGTTAACTAGGGATTTGTCCCACGCTTTTCCTGCCGTCATTTCTTCCCTCTCCTCTTATTTTATATTTTTCAATCCACTTCTAACCATGTCATTACCTGCTACTGCTGCTAGAGAGAGAGGTTTCTAGAGAGAGAAAGTGGTTTCTACAGAGAGAGGGGATGGGCAGGCCTCCGTGTTGCGACAAGTCGAGTGTGAGAAAGGGGCCATGGACACCAGAAGAAGATGCGAAGATACTGGCTTACATCTCTGGGCATGGCACTGGTAACTGGACCGCTGTTCCCAAGAAAGCAGGTTACAGGAGTTCTTCTTGTAATGGCCTTCTTCCGTTTTCTTTTTTTGGTTTGTTATTTATCACCCCATGTTATCTCTGGTTCCATAAAAGATTGTCGGATAACAAACCAAAAAATTTCTTTTTTGCTCTCTCTCTCTACCTTTGAAATATTACATGCATTTATTTATTTTGATTTAAATTTTCTATATCAATAAAAGAGTTAGAAATGTCAATCTCAAAATAACCTTTTAGATACGACACATGCATATACTAAGTAAATTGGTTTGGAAAAGCCTCTTTTTTTTCTATCTTCATTGGGGTGTTTGCCGTTGTGGCATTAACAGGGCTGAAAAGATGCGGAAAGAGTTGCAGGCTAAGGTGGACAAATTATCTGAGGCCAGATCTGAAGCATGATCGCTTCACTCCGCAAGAAGAGGACCTCATTGTCAGCCTCCATGCTGCCATAGGAAGCAGGTCCTGCTTAGCTTTTTATATTTTTTCTTTCTTTTTCTTTTTTTATTTGAATGTTCTCGGTTAAATTCATTAATAAAAAGAGGGAAGCTCCACTAAGTACAATAAGAAAGAGAAAAGAACTAGCGAAGAATGTAGTTTGCGTACAATAAGAAAGAGAAAAGAACTAGCGAAGAATGTAGTTTGCATAAAGTTGCAACCTTAAACAATGAAATTATGGTGCACCTCCAAATTTTATCATAAATATAATTTGGGTGTCAAAAATTCCAAAGATAGCTTTATAATCTATTTTTATATCTAATTATAACATTTTAAACTTCAAAAATGGTACAAATTAAGTAGATCTATAACTACTTGAAAATCTTGAAAATGAATCAGATAATGTGTTGCAATATACACTATTTTTAGAGTGCAAAATCTTTTTTTATTTTATTTCATTTATCTCGATATTTAGATGATCAATTAGAGAGTTTTGCAACATCAAAACAACCTTTCATGATGGATTTTTGAATAGCACCTTAATTTTATATTTTAAAGTTGCAACCTCATATAAGCTTTTTCTAATAGAGAAATACCAAAGCTGCTTCCTAAATCCGGGGATGATCACCCAGGTCTTGCCTTTTCTCAATCACAATTGCAGGGAATTCCGTTGAATCCATTTGCACATTTACTAGTAAGTGAAATAATTGTGTTTGTATTTCTTTTCTTTTTTTTTAGATCTAAGTTAATTTGTCATAAGCTCATGTGATGGAGAATAACCTGCATCACACGTGCGCCATGGTCGAGTTTTACTAGAATAATTTCCGATTCGTTTGAAGGATATTTGACAACTGTACCAGCACATTTTTTCCACGTCAATAAATAAGTAAAACTTATGAATACCTCTCTCTTATGACATAATGTATGCATCACAAGAATCTTGATGAATTTCATGATCCCTCACACAAACACAAACGCACATAAAAGGAGCTTCTTCCTCTAAAACTGAGCAGCACTCTTCTCTCTCTCTCTCTCTCTCTCTCAAGTTACATAAGGCGTGCCTCAGGCGCAGTTTCATGATCTCTCACACAGATTTTCTTCCTCCATTCTCAATTTTGAGAGAGAGGAAGAGTTTTATATAGCGAGTAGGATGGAAGAAAACTAGACATGGAATGAGAGAGATTTTTTTTTAGTGATTTACGTACGAAAATTTTAGGTAAAATATATATAAAAAAAAAAAGAAAGGTTCGGCCAACCCATTTTTATTTCAAAATTGCTTCTCGGTAAATCCAAATTTTAATTTTTTTAGTGTTTTTATTTTTTTTATGTTTTTGTTTATAGGGCAGTGCCGCAAGCTTTAATGGAAAAAATAACAAAAAAAAAAAAAAAAACCAAAATTCTGGTTGACTGAGAACCAATTTTGAAAAAACGAAAAGAAAACGAGGTGACCGATCTTCTTCGTAATTAAGTGGAGCATTCTGTATTTCTTAGAGTCCGTCCATAAATCCCACTTTTTATCTTCTTTCTTACCATTATGTGTACATAATTAATTGCAGGTGGTCTTTGATAGCAGCCCATTTGCCTGGGCGAACCGACAACGACATAAAGAATTACTGGAACACGAAGCTCCGGAAGAAGCTCCGTGAGATGGGGATAGACCCCGTGACCCACAGGCCGATCTCTCAGATCCTAGCCGACTATGGAAACATGGGTCTCACTAACCCGCTAAAATACCATGGCCGCCGACACCACCACTACCGCCACACTAGCCTCAACCCCGAGCCCGAAAACAAGCTTACACCAAACTTAGGAGAGCTGCATCATTTCAATCAAAACACAAACAACCTCCCATCCACTCAAGAAGCGGCTGCTCTGCCTAATAATTACAATAATCATCCATGGGACCTTCTTGCCCAAATCCACGCCATCAAATTTGCCTCTGAGGCTTCCAACTGTAGTTCTGAAACACCAGTTATAGCCGAAAATGCCAACCCGGTAACCAAAATCTCTAATGAAGCGGCGACGGAGACGGAGACGAGCCAACAAGTCCAAGACTATCCCGAATATTCATCATCTAACTCAGGGTTTACTTGGAGCGAGTTTCTCCTCGATGATGAGCTCTGTGCCTCTCAGCCTAATGGCGACACAGAACTGACCCCATTGCTCTTTGAAAAAGAGATGAAAGAAGAGAAGGATGTATTGGGTCCACTTCATCCAATCCAGATGGTAGACGGCGTCGTCGGAAGTCCGAGCATATCACCTTCCGGCAGGGCCTGTGATGACTCGTTTGTACATGGATTGTTGGAGGGAGATAGGCAATCGCTTTTGTGGGAGTTCCCTGAGCTCTTTGATAATCCTTTGCCTTGGTGCAACCAGTAACCACTGGAAACTCCTCCATTTGTGTTAAGAGTGAAAGTACTACCATCAAGGTTGAGGTTTACTTGTTTTTTAGTGTGGTACGTGTTGCTTGTGTAATATCAACCATAATAACTATATGAATGGATATAAGCTGAGCAAAAGTTGTAATAACATTGTGTTTGCGCTCCAATTTGCGCTGATATCTGGGCTAGACAAACTCAAACCTCTTACGGAACTAAATTAATTTTTAAAATTAGTCGAGAAAGTGGGGTCGCTCAAATTATAGGTTTAAGGGCATCACATATTTTTATAGATCCGTTCCTCCTCTAAACCTACTGAAAACGCCATCTCCATAATCTATTTATTAGACCTAAGGAAAACTTCTAATTCTAACGTAATCTAAGAAATAAATAAATACCCAAAAAATAAAACAAAATAAAAATAAATAAATAAAAATAGTAGTAAATAAAAGAGAAAGATAGATTGCATATCTACGAAACCTGGAGTTAGGGCCCATATGAGGACCATAGATTGATTTATACCTTTTGATACCTTCTTTTGCTTTCTTGAAGCATGGCTCTAAGGTTTTGGATATAGGAGAACTTGTTTCTAGGATTTAATCTTGATTTAAGAGAGATTTTCATAGGATCTCGCCTTATGAGCTTTAGCCTAAGGCTTTCTAGGGTTTTTCCTAATTTTCTAAATATTTTCCTGATTTTCTAGGGGTTTTGGAATTTTTCCTATTTTTCTAGGTATTTTGGACGAATTTATTAATTTTTTAAGATTTCCTTAATTTTTTAAAGGGTTTTTCCTAATTATCTAGATTTTTTGAAATTTCCTAATTATCTGAAAATTTTCTTAAGTGCTTTTCCCAGGATTTTTTCAGCGACATTTCTAGGAATTTAGAGGGGGTATTTATAAGTTTTTGATAGGGTTAAGGTTGAAATTAATTGTTCTAATTGCTCCAATTTCCTAGTCCCAAGTGGATTAGGAATAGGCCATTTTTGCAATTTTCTGGAATATTCCAATAAAAATTCAAACTTAAAATCCTAATTAGAAAATGACTTGAGCACCCCGGGCCCATCGAGCCATGCAGCGCGCAACACAAAGCGTATTTCCCATAGGGGAAATACGATAAATTTCTCCCCTTAAACTTCTTGTGCTTTCAACTTTTTAATGGTAGATCCGATTCGAGCGATTCTTAAATTGTTCGAAATCTCTACGGTTTAGGATAGGTTTTGGAAGGTTTTGAAACAATTAAATTGGGTCTAAGTTGACTTTCGCTCACTAGGGTTATCGTGGTTTTTAGGACTTAGAATCAAAAGTTTTTAGGAATTTTCGTAGCCAGAATTTTGAGGGGGTTGTCCACAATTGACCCTCTTTGATATTCACTTAAGATGTTAGGTGAATGAAAAAGAAGTAGACACATAAGCCATGATGGAAAAAAAAATGGGGGTCATCCTTTTGAATGACCAATACCCTCTAAAAGGCGGTATGCTGATGGATATCTTTTATTTGTAAGACATTGAACTGGCACTGCATTATCTTTGAGGTAGTGGCGTCACGAGGTCTCTGATAATCAGGATCCGAAGTGACAGCTAGTAGGAACCATGCTACCTTTGGGCTAGTGACTTTCTCCTTGCAGTGATCACCCCAATGCTACCTCGGATGCTAGTATAGTCATCTTCGACCTTAGACCTTTTCTTTGGGCCTAGTTTTCAATTGAATGGAGCTTTTGAATTTGAGAAGATAAATGATTTATGCTGCAATTGTGGCTAATTGAACTTCTTTTCACATTTTAATTCTAAATTCTAAGAACCATAGGTTTAGGCTTTGTTTTTCCTAAAGCTGAGTTTTATTCCTAAAGATTTCAGCCTATGCTTCAAGACTTTCAAATAAGGCGAAATCACAAAAACATCCTGTACATGGCTTTATAACTCCTTCGTTTTATTTTATTTTTTTACTACTTTTGAAAACAAAGAAAACTTTTGGGAACAAACCCAGGTGACTGGGCATATAATTTCAAAAAAGAAAGTTTACGGTTGATGACAAACATATATCGAAAACCTTTTTAAAAGGGAGAATTTCGAAAACAGGTTGGTAAGCAGTTTAGGCTCATGCTACCATGGAGCTCTCTTCTTCTTCTTTTTTCTTCTTTTTTTTCTTCTTTTTTTTTTTTTTTAAATATAAGCTTGCCGAGCCATTACTTGAGACCTTTAGGACGAGGAATCATTGAGTAATCTTTCATCTTCCAATATTGACTCTCGTGTTACAACTCAAGGGAGAGTTTTTTTAAGTTTTCAAGCAAAGTAATGTTTTGGATAACAAGGAATATTGCCCTTGAGTGCTCAAAATCCCCTTGGACTTCCAATTTCATTCCTCCACTACCTACCCTTTCGAAGTTTGCATAATCGGGCCTATTTAGATTTACTTGGACCCTTCAAAGTTCTTTGTTTTTTGATGCCGGTCTGACTTGAGAATAATTTCTAGAGATATTGGAGAAGAAACAAAAAGAGTGAGAACCTTTTTTTTTTTTTTATCCCCCAGGGTACCCTTTGGTTGTTTAGCCCAGTGGCTTTTTCCAACGCTTCGGGTTCTGTTTAGATTTTCAGCTGGGTGGAATTTTTTTTTTCTTTTTTTAACTTTTGAAGAAGATAAAGAAAGAGGAGGAGGATAAGAAGAGTCAGTGGTGATTTTTTATTCTTGGCACTTCCTCCTATAACTAGATAAGAACTCAATCATCCTTCATTTTTTCAAGTGGCAAAGAGGTTCTAGTCTTGGTTATCTTTGGATTTCCTTGCCCCTAGTTGATATCAACACTTCCTTGATAGTAGTTGTTGAATTCTTGTTGGATTTTTCCTCCTTGAATTGCTTCAATCGATCCTTTATCTTTAGAATTGAAGTCACTCTCAATTTTTGTGTCATTAAGTTTCCTACTCGAGGCTAGGCTCATTTATATTTTTTTCCCTTGATCGAGCGATTTTTTTCAACTGGCTCCTTGGGTCGCTAATGCCATGGAGTAGGATGCCTAAATAGAGTGTGGATGCTCCACTTGGCTTATTTTAGAGGGAGGAGCAAGTGATCACCCTACTCCTTTTTAATGATCTTTTTCATTTAGAATTTCAAATTGCTATTGATAAGTTGATGACCTTGAGGCATGTTGGGAATCATAGAATGAGGCGTGGGCTGCACCAGTTATCCTTGGTATTTTCTCATCATCAAATGAGGGTGCCCCTATCAAGTGGTTTGGTGGGGCTACCCTTGTAGTGTTTCCTTCATTGGATGAAACCATCCCTATCAATATGTTGGATGTGACAAATTCTATAATGTTTTATCAGATGGGATGATCCCTATCAAACTAGTGGACGGGAGTACTTTTGTGACTCTTTCTACTTCAAAGGCTGGATCTTATTGAATATAGGGTGCCCTACTTAGTAGAGTCATGCCCCTACCCCTGTCTTTTTCTTGGGGGTTCTTCAACACATTTAGTAGGATCATCTAGGAAATCTTGTGAAGATGCCTCAAGCAGTGCCCTTGGAATTTCTAGGGGTTTGATTTCTTCTAATTCTTATAGAGATGTTGAATCTTCAAGAATGATCAAACTTGGGCCCTTTACTTCTTCTAGTTTGATTGTTAGATTAGCCTTAGAGGATAGTCTGATTGACTCTTCTAGGGTCTCCTCATCCCAGATAGGTAGAAGTCGGATGAAGGTGGCTCAAGTGGGCCTCATAGGATTTCCAGAGGTTCAAGTTCTCCCATAAACTTTTGAGAGGACAAGTTTCTTTTTCAAATTAAATATCCTTCCCTTAGTTTTCTTCCATCATCACCTTTTGATTTGCTTCATATGGGATTACTCGCTGATTTATTTCTTCTTGATCTATAGTCTCGAATCTAAGATAGTTCCCATTACTGCGGTCTTGGGAATCCCTAAACTTGAAATCTTGGTCTAGCTCATGGATGGCTAAAGCCTCCTGTGGGTTGTCTACTGCACTTATTTGGAAGGTGGGAGTAATTAGGCCCTTTCTCTTTGTGGTGACATGTATAATAGAGGTATTTTGAGTCTCCAACAAGCTAATTCCTTCCACTTTAATTGAAACTCCTTGTAACTAGACCGGCGGTTAGAGATGGCCTACCGGGGCAAGCTGAACGGGCGGCCCCACATGGTGATGACTCTAGGCTTGAGGTGTGTCGGAACGGATTGAGCTGGCTGGTGCGGCTGTGCAGATGGATAATAGGGTGGTGCAAGAGCCGAATAGGCTGCTTGCAGGTGATAATATGGAGTTGGGGCAGCCTGAAAAAACTTATTTACGCTCTAATTTGTGCCGATCTCTGGGTGAGACCAACTCAAATCTTTGCAAAACTAAGTTCTTTTATGAAGAAGTAGAGAAAGTGGGGTCGCTTGAATTATGGATTCCGAAAGGGACAAATATATTTAGATCTAATTCTTTTATCAGTCCACTGGTAGCACCAGCTTCAAGATCTGTGCATATTACTTTAAAAATACTTCTAAATTTAAACTAATTAATAAAATTACAACAAAATAAACTAAATTAATGAAAAAATAAACTAATATTAAATAGGGAAAGAGATAATTACCTCAGAGACCCGAAATCCAGAGTTTTGGCTTGGATCAGCCCGCCCTTCTTATGCGACCATCTCATTTTGGATGCCTCTTGCTTATGGAATAAGTAGATCTAAGGGTCTTTCATCTATATCTAGGGTTCCTAAGGCTTTGGAGAGCGCTAGGGATTTTTAAGAAGGATCTACCTAAGTTTTTCTTTAGTTTTTAAAGATTTTTGAGATCTCCTAAGATTAAATCTGAATTTCGATATTTTTGGGGAGTTTTCTCTAATTTTTTAGGAACTTTCTAAGGCTTTATCCTATTTTCTGGTATTTGGTTATTTTCTTATTTTCAAATTTCCTATGAATTTAATTTATTTTCTAAGGATTTTTCTATCTATTTTGCACGTTTTTTTAGAGGATTGTGGTCTATTTTTTGTGGGTATTTATAGGTTGAAGTAGGGTTAGCTTTGAAACTAGATCAATTCGATCCAAGGGCCCATATTGAGCCAAAAAAGTCAAATTTCGGATTTTTTTACTGACTTTGAATAATTTAAACCCATCTTGAAAAAGGACTGGGTTGGCCGGGCCGGGTCCATCAGACCATGCGAGGCATGATGCCCTGTGAGGCGCAACGT